CTTAGAATGAAAGTTTTTGAGATACTGCCAGAACATTTTGTGCAGTGTACCTACAACAGTTTACATTCCCACTAGCACTGTTTGAGGGTTCCAGTTCATCCACATTCGCACCAACACAAATAATTAGAATTATCATAGTGTTTCCAGGTAGTGTCATGTGTTCAGTGTTTTAGTAATTTATTGGTGATGTCTTCCTCTTCCTTTTTCTTTTCTTTTTTTTTAACTTTTTGGGTCATACACAACGATGCTTAGGATTACTCCTGGCTTTGCACACAGGAATTACTTCTGGTAGTGCTCAGGGAACCATTCTTTTCTTTTCTTCCTTTTGTTTTTTGATCCATACCTGGTGGTACTCAGGGCTTACTCCTGTCTTTGTACTCAGAAATCACTCTGGGTGGGCTCGGGAGACCGTATGGGAGGCTGGGGCTTGAATCCAGGTCTGCCATATGTGAGGCAAGTGCCTTACCTGCTTACTGTTGCTCTGGCCCTTCTCCAAAAATTTTGAGTTTTTAAGTGCTTTTTCTCCATATATAAGTTCTGGTTATATAGTAATTTTTTTTTTCTTTTTAATTCTTGGGGGCCGAAGCTATAGTACAGCAGGTAGGGCATTTGCCTTGCAAAGCGATCGTCCTGGGTTCAATCCCTGGCCTCCCATATGGTTCCCCCAAACACCACCAGGAGTAATTCCTGAGTGCAGAAGCAGGAGTAACCCCTGAGCATTGCTGGGTGGGACCCAAAAAGCAGTAAATAAATAGAGTCTTGTGGCCAAAGAGATAGTATGATGGGTAGTTTGCTTCCCTTGCATGTGGCCAACCCGGACTTGATCCCTGGGCTTCCATATGTCCCCCAAGCCCACTAGGAATGATCTGAGTGCAGAGCCAGGAATAAGCCCTGAGCTCTGCCAGGTGTGACCCCAAAACACAATAATAAATAAAAATTTTAAAGGGCTTATTGAAATACAATTTCTATATAATGTTAAACATGTAGAATATTTGATATGAAGTCTGGCTTCTTCCTCTTAGCATGTTTCCAAGGTTCAAGTAGATTAAAAAGTGTGTGTGGATCAAGCCTGGGAGGTAACTCAAAGAGTTAAAGTGTTTGGATTGCATTTGGGAGCTCCAGGTTTGGTCCCTGGCATCCAGGACCAAGCACAGTCCCCAGCACTGCCAGGTGTGGCCCAGGGTCAGCTTATGTGCATATAGATGTGTGAGTACACATATGTGTGTCCCCCATACATCCCATCATTCAGTCTCAAATTACCACCCGGTGCCCAATATTATATCTATATCCTTTTTACATTTGTCTTCTTTAATTTTGGCTTTTTGTTTATTTGTTTTCTGTTCTGTTTTGGGAACATAGCTTGTGGTGCTCGGGGGCCATGGCTGGCAATGACCAGGGAACTGTTTGTAATGCCAGAATTCAAACCAGGATCGCAGATCCAGCCAAATGCTAGACAAGCACCTTGTACTATAACCTCAGGCCCAAACTTCTGTAATTTTTTTTTATCATTTATCTTATTGTTTTATTACATTATTTTTGACTTCCGTAATTTTCAAATTGATTTCAGACACTATATTTCTTGATCTGTAAATATCTTAGTATGTATCTCAAAGATAAGAGATTCTTTAAAAATACCTTTTTAATATCGGTATATTAAATATCCTGTCTGTGTTCAGTATCCACCCGTTCATGTGTGTGCTTCTGTGTATAAATTCAAATTTATTTGAATTTGGATCCAAAGTAAAATCCACACTATAATAGTCTTTTTGCTTTTTGGGTCACACCCGGCAATGCACAGGGGTCACTTCTGGTTCTGCGCTCAGGAATTACCCTGGCGGTGCTCACGGGACCATATGGGATGCTGGGAATCGAACCTGGGTCAGCCGGGTGAAAGGCAAACACCCTACCCGCTGTGCTATCGCTCCAGCCCCCACACTATAATAGTCTTTAAAGTGTCTTTGGGGGCAGGAGCGATAGCACAGCGGGTAGGGCATTTGCCTTGCACGCGGCTGACCCGGGTTCAATTCCCAGCATCCCATATGGTCCCCTGAGCACCGCCAGGGGTAATTCCTAAGCGCAGAGCCAGGAGTGACGCCCTGTGCATGGCCGGGTGTGACCAAAAAAGCAAAAAAAAAAAAAAAAAAACCTCTCTTTGAATTCTTTTTTTTCCTCACTATTTATTGAGGAAATCAGGTTGTTGCTCTTTATCCAAATGCATAAGTTTCTTAGTTGGATAAACAGTTTACAGTGTTTGTGTTCTTGGTTGGAGGGGGTTAATTTTGGGGGGGGGAGGGGAGCATGCCCAGTGGTGCTCAGCACTTGCTCCTGGTTCTGTGCTCAGGGATCACTCCTGGGGCACTGGGGAATCATATGTTTGTTTGTTTATAATTTTTTAATTTTTATTAGTGAAACACCATGAGGTACAGTTGTAGACTTATAAATTTTTGTGCTTGGGTTTCAGTTATACAATGATCGAATACCCATCCCTCCACCAGTGCCCATTCTCCACCACCAATAATCCCAGTAGCCCTCCCGTCCCCCATCCCACCCTGACTCTGTGGCAGGGCACTCCCTTTTGTTCTCGCTCTCTCCTTTTGGGTGCTGTGGTTTGCAAAAGAGGCCTTGAGTGGCAATCATGTTCGGTCTATAGTCTACTTTCGGCATGCATCTCCCATCCTGGGAGGATCCTCCCAACCTTGAGTGGCAATCATGTTCGGTCTATAGTCTACTTTCGGCATGCATCTCCCATCCTGGGAGGATCCTCCCAACACCCTTTATTTGGTGCTCCCTTCTCTATCTGAGCGGCCTTTTCCCCTAGCGTGTGTGGCTGGCCTCCAAGCCATGGAGTAAACTTCTTGGTACTTATCTCGGCTATTCTTGGGTGTTGGTCTCCTATTTTGTTACTTTCTGTTTGGGGAGCCATATGTTGTGCTGGGAATCAAACGCCATTTAGCTTCTGCCAGGCAAATATCCTGCCTTCTGTACTATGGCCCCACAACCCTTTGCACATGGCTGACACTGTGGGATTGAACCAGTGTCAGCCATATGCAAATCAAGCACTGACCCTCTGCACCCCCTCTCTGTGTGTGCATACAGATGTGTGTGGTTAAATTTCCGTTGCCACTACCCTAGTGCATCCTTTCTTTAAGTTCTGTTGTCTCCCTGTCTCCTGCAGTGTTCCCTTCGGATTCCTTCTTCATATCACAGTACTTTGTAAAATGCAAGCATGAGCATGACATTTTCATTTAAGTGTGTGTTGAACAGCAGCTTAAAGACCAGTCGCCACATTAATAATGCATTGGGAGGGTACCTGCCCTTGCTGAAAGTACAATCAGGGAACCAAAGGAATAACTAGTATATAATTAAAACATCTCAAATGGACATATTAACTGTATAATCCGTAATTACATGGGAAGGCATACTAATTAAACCTAAGGAAAGAGATTTGAAGGGAAGAAATCATATACAGAGAAGGAAGCCTAACGGACAGCTGATCTTAAACTAAAGATGAAGGCAGTGTTGCTTAAGCTGATGTTTTAGATGAGAGCCAGAAAATGAGACTGTAGACGACAGGATGAGAGAAGATGGGCATAGTCAGAAAGCTGCCCTGCGGGGGGGTGGGGGGGTGCGCAGAGATAGTGCAGAAGTCGGGGCACTTGCCTTGTGTTGTGCCTACGGCCCCTCGAATCCTGCAGGTTGTGGCCCCAAAACAAAAAATCAGAGTGCGGCCTTATACAGTGGTGTGTTGGCAAGAGAGGGCACACCAAACAGTCCAAGCAGATCCGCACGGAAAGGCAGATTGATTGGCAAGAGCTCAGCCAGGCCAGGCTTTAAAGGGGGTTATCTGCAGCTTAGAGTTGCTGGAAGGTTATTGAAAGGTTTTAATCGGAGTTTAAGATAGATCAGAGGGAGCTGGAGCAGTAGCACAGGGTAGGGCATTTGCCTTGCACGCGGCCGACCCGGGTTTGATTTCCAGCATCCCATATGGTCTCCTGAGCACTGCCAGGGGTAATTCCTAAGTGCAGAGCCAGGAGTAACCCCTGTGCATCACCAGGTGTGACCCAAAAAGCAAAAAAAAAAAAAAAAAAAGATCAGAGGTCTGTAAATTCCTTGATAATGATTTTTTTTTTTTTTTGGTGGGGAGGGGGCACTCCCGGTGGTGCTCAGGGCATACTCCTGCCTCTGCGTCCAGGTATCATTCAAAGAGGGACTCGAGGACCATAATTGGGTTCCAGGGATCAATCCCAGCTCAGCCATGTGCAAGGCAAGCACCCTACCTGTTATCCTGTCACTCTTGTCCTAGATAATAAGTAGCACTGTAGCACTGCATTGTCCTCCCATTGATCATCGATTTGCTCAGCGGGCACCAGCAAGGTCTCCATTGTGAGACTTGTTACTGTTTCTGGCATATCGAATACACCACGGGGAGCATGCCAGGCTCTGCTGTGCGGGTGGGATACTCTCGGTAGCTTGCTGGGCTCTCCAAGATGGACGGAGGAATCAAACCCGGGTTGGCCGCGTGCAAGGCAAACACCCTACCTGCGGTGCTGTCGCTTCAGCCGAGATAATAAGTACATTTGAAAAATCTGATCATATTGGTTTTCGCTGGTAAAAGATAATTATTAACTAAGTATATTTCTGAAAACATCCTCTCTTGTGTCATGTATTCTTGTGTTTAATAATTTAAATTCTTATCATGTCATTTGCTCCTTGAAGATAGGTATATACGAGGACACTGCATTTTAATTAAGGAACTAGATGATAATGAAAACTCTGCAATCATAAAAAGCCTTGATAATGATGCAGTGAAATGTTAAGGGAAATATTTATGTAGGTATTGATATCATGCATTTCTCAAGTTATTCAGTAATGAAAAGCAGTTGACATAGAGAAATATCTTTATCAAAATGATTATTGGGGGAAAACTTTTCTAAATAACTCATTTGAAGGACTTGTAAATTTATTTTCTCTAACTTGTTTCTATTTTCTTGCCTATGTAGGAGAGTCATTATTTTGATGGAGTTAGATGTTTTAAAATCAGCTGACGCAGTTGGAGCAAAGATTGGCAACCCAGTACCTTACAATGAAGGTAAAATTCTTTTTATAATTTGGAGCCGTACCTTGAGCACCTTTATAAAATTGGAATTCTACCTTTTGGATTCAAAAGGCAGGTGGATTTTGATTGCATCTTAATAAAGCTAGTGATTGGGGGATAGTGGGGAAGGAATCAGGTTCTTCTATCTGTTTTAAGTACTGAAGAAATGATAGTAAAATCCCATGAAGGTAAAAAGCACTCCTCTGTTGATCCGTGCCTATAACCCTGGCACTTGTTGACCAGATATAGTGTTGGGGGTAGGGAAACTGCATGCTCAATGGTTGAATTTTCTGTGGACAGTTCAGCTCAGGAGTGGGTGCTGTCTGGATTTATTAGCTCCTGTAAGGTAAAGGCTCCGTCCCAAAAGACTCTCTCCTTCCTTGTCCCCACTCCTCTCACTTTGGCGGCCAGTTGTAAGTCAAGACTGTCCCCATGCTTCTGACCAGCTAGCTGTAAACGAGAGGAGGCGCCCCCCTACCCCCCCCCCCCACACACACACCCCTCCTTTCCTGGTTTGCTTAATTTGCTGGAGCAGCCTAATTTGCAGAACTTGAGAAGCAATTCACTTCCAAGAATAACCGTTTGTTATGACTCCGAATCAGCCACTTGGAAGCGATGCTGAGGACAAAGGGACGCAGAGCTCCCATTCCCCTGGTGTAGCACCCAACTTGCCCCTCCATGTGTCTGCCTACTCAGAAGCTCTCTGAACCTCATCCTTTTGTTGTCCATTGTTGGTGTCCCATGGGTCTGCACTCACTTTATTTACTTTTGTTTTTCCGTTCTTTTAAGACAGTTTTAAATGTTTGATATATTTGCTAATATGTCTCTTTCCTCCCTTATTGGGGGTAAAGGAGAAACTTTTGGGTCACACCTGGCTGTGCTCACGGTTTACTCTGCACTCGGGGGTCTCTCCTGGTGGGATGCATAACAATGAACTATATGCTGTATTGGGCTTTGAACCCTGTGTGTGCGAGGCAGTGCCTTTTCTGCCATTACTGTCTCACTGCCCCACCTCCACTTTTATTTTCTTTCCTTTTTTAAAATTTATGTTTGAGTGGCTCTTTCTAGCAGTCCTTGGGAGCCCTGGGACGGTTTCCAGTAATACTGGCCTGACGGTTTGATGCTCAGACCCAGACAGTGTGCTGGGGGCAGAGTGGCCATTGAACTCAGTGATTGTAAGAGATAGACTCCATCCCTTTGAACTATCTGTGTCCCCAGTGGGCTTTCCCCCTTTCTTTGCCACTGCTGCAGTTGTGATGACCAGGGATGACATTTAGTTTTCCACAGCCTGTGATCACATGCCTTTGGTTGTTCTGCACACCTGGTCGCAGGGGGCCGCACTCGTTAGCTGTGGTGCTATATATTCTGGCTGTTAAGCCTAACAGGGTGGCTGTGATGCTAAGACTTGTGCTCACTCACCAGGGTTAGACTTCCTGGTCATGGCAGTCATGTATCTTTTAATTGCAGTGCTCATTGGGGATCACACCCCGCTTGGTGGTGGTGTTTAGACACACCCGAGAACAGTGTGGCTGGAAGTCCCAGAGCAGCCAGGCGTGAAAGCAGAGCTACCAGCTTTGCGCTCGGGCTGAGCTCCCAGATCTGTGCTTTAGTGCAGGCGCTCGAAGCCCCTGTGTGTCCCTTGCCGCCTCTCCTGATCACACGTGGCTCGTCGACACAACCACGTGCTTCTTGGGCAGCCAGGGCAGTGGCGTTGGAAACATTTCCCCTCTTGGGCCGGAGAGAAAATACAGGGGGTAGGGCACTGAGCATTGCTGGGTATGACCCAGAAAGCCTAAAGGGAAAAAAAGAGATTAATACCATGTACAGTATCTTGCTGCTTTTTTATCCTTCATTTTAAGATTTCTCTGTTGATTGACTGCCTAGAGTTGAGCCCAGGGCATTGCACATCCAAGCCTGTACTCTTGGCTTCCTCTTCTTCCCTTCCTCCACCTCCTCCCTGTCCCTCCTCCCTTCATTTTGTTTCTCCTCCTCCCCCTCAGCTCCCTTCTCTCTCTCCTTTGCTTTTCTGGGTTATACCCACCAGGAACTGTATGGTGTGCTCGGGAACGAACTTGGGTCAGCCATGGGGGGGGGGGGGGATTTGGGTGCTAATTGAGCCATTCCTGGCTCTGTGCTCAGGTGTCGCTCTCAGCAATGGTGGAGACCATGCCATTGGCCACATTCCAGGCCAGCATCTTCACCCGGTGCCCCAGCCCCTGCCTTTTTCTCTTTACACCGGGGCCGCTTCTGGACGTAGGCAGCACAGGCCTGTTGGCTCAGTGCTTGGGACTGACCAAGCAGCACCTTTCCAGCTCTCAGCTGCTCCAGAGCCACCCTCCTACCTCCCTGTGCAGCTGGGTACCAGACTCGGGCCGCAAGCAAGCAAGACATATGTTCCACCTAGATGAGTTATCCCCTGGCCCCCTGCCTGCTTTTTAAAAAACGTCAGCCTGGAGATACTTAGAGGCCTTTCTTTGTTTCAAAAAGAAGAAACAGTTGTAGAGTTCTATATTGTGGCTATTTCATATTTGAACAAGTCCTTTATTGACAGATATTGGCAAGTTTTTGAACTGTGGCTATTAAGGGTGCTGTCATGCGGCCAGGGACATAGCTGGGGAGAGAGGCTTTCGTTTAAAAACAAAAGAAAATAAAGAGTTGTAATATATAACTCTATATACAGGCAGGTAGTTGAGGTTAGGATGGAGATGAAAGGGTTGAAAGAGAAATGCCACTAAAGAGTCAGAAGTCTGTAACTAGGGAAACAGTTCCTCTGTCTCAGTACGTTTCACGGGAGCCCCCTCCACTTCAGGGTGTGGTGAAGTGCAGAGGAGCCAGAGGCTTTGCTGCTCAGGACTGTTTGCTGTTGAATCGCATTCTGTTGGGTTCAGTGCCACATTGTTACTTGGACCATGGTGTAAAATGGCTTTTGTTGAGGTGACTGCAGTATATTTCAGAGAAAGCACCTTACTGCCCATGGTGAGAGCAGGCTGTTATTGGTGGTAGGGAACCAGAGTCGGAACCTATACCTGTGATTGGATCAGGCAACCAGTAACGTCCACTGCCAGCTCCAGGCCAGGGAGGAGAGGTGGAGGAACGCCAAGCTGTGTTTGTAGGTGGCGGTGTATGGCACTGGTACCACGCTGCATAATGATGCTTAAATAATTTTATGAAGATGAGAAATAAAGCTTCACACAAGTCCTATCTCATTCACTATCATATTATTTTAAATTTTCCATGTGTACCACTATTTTTTGCCAATGTCTATTTTATTGGTTATATATTATTTCCCTAAACTTTTTCTGATCTTTTAATTAGGCTTAAAGTTTTTACAACATACTTAATCAGTTTTACTCCGTATTGAGAGGTAGTGGTTGGGGTTTTTTTCAGCCTGATTCTGTCCATTTCTGCCAACATGAAATTGTAATTATTAAATTAACTCTGCAGTTCTGTAGTTGTTTTGGTTAAAGTGTTTACTAGTGGAAACTGGGGTGTTTTGGGTTTTTTTAATTATTCTGTTGTCTGTTAGCTAATTTTGCTCAGCTGATGACTCATATACCACTTACAGTTGTAACAATGATAGACTAGTGGGTGCGAGTATGAGTAACTTGATCCTCCAGAATCTGCTTTTAAATGTCCCTCCTAGGTCAGAGCGAACCATAAAAAGTTGGCTCAGTACAAAAGTATTCAGAATTATGACCTTGGGGATTGAGTGACAGTAGTGGATAGAGTACTTACCTTGCACGTGCTGAGCTGGGTTAGATCCCTAGCACTGTTTATGGTCCCCTGAGCCCTGCCACAAATGATCCCTGAGCACTGCCAAAATGTGGGCGCCCCGTCCCTCAAAAAAAAAAAAAGCATAACCATAATCAATCTTATTGGAATGGCTTGACTTGCAGGTGGCACATAAGATTAGCAGGAACTGAGTCTCGGCATTATTTTTCAGGGGTTTCATTTTAGGTTTTTCTTTGGGGGCACTTGGTGGTGATCAGGGGTCACTCCTGACTCTGCACTCAGGAATTACATGTTGCATTTCTCAGGGTACCATGTGGGATGCTGGGGATCGAACCAGGGTCAGTTGTGTGTAAGGCAAATGCCCTACCTGTCCACAGTACTGTTGTTTAATTTCAGATTTTAGCGAGATTTTTGGAGGCCAGAGCCTTACACACAACAGACCTGTGTTCGATCCCCAGCATCCCATATGGTCACCCGAGCACTGCCAGGAGTAATTCCTGAGCGCAGAACCAGAAGTAACCCCTGAGCATCGCCGGGCATGACCCCAAAACAAAACAAAAAACATAAGGGATTTTAACAACATTTTTAATTATATGCCAGTTTCAGCTCTTGTGGACAGCAGCTATGTGTGTTCTGATATGAAGGGCAGTTGTTGCTGGAACACAACCAGGATGCCATCGATATCAGAGGGCTGAGGAATAAATGAAACGGTGCATTATCCATTATCTTCGTACCTGAATGCACCCCCCCCCCCCAAAAAAATGATGACTGTGGGGCCAGAGAACTAGTACAAGGGTTCAGGTGCTTGCCTTGCTTGCAGCCAATCCAGTCCAAATCCCCAGCACTGTCTATGGTATTCTGAGCACTGCCAAGGGTCACTCCTGAGCTCAGAGCCAGGATTAGTGCCTGGGTCCTACAGGTGTGACCCAAACCCCATGTTCCTGCTCTCCCCCACAATGATGTCACTGGGCCGGGGGGGGGGGGTGACCCCGTGGTAGAACATATGCCTGGAGTGTGTGACACGCTGGATGCAATTCCTAGCAATGAGAAAAAAAAGAAGGAATAACCACTGTTAATGTTATTATTATCGGGCCTACTTAGAGTCTTGCTAAGTATATTGTTTATTGAATTTAAGATGCCAATGATGGTTAAAATGTACCATCATGTTAGTTACTGCTGAAAAGAAATCAGGATGCACTTTCTCTTCAGGCCTGTGCTCTCCCTTGGAACATGTTTTGCTTGCCTGCCTGTTCCACTCTGGAGAAGCCTGTGTTCTCTCTTAACACACTTCTCTAAAGAAGTTTCAACAAAAACAACCTTGCTTCACCAAAAAAAAAAAAAAAAAAGAAAGAAAGAAAGAAATCATAACCCATTTGTTTGTCAAACTGGTGACCTTAGGCTAGGTAAATAGGTAACTTTTCCAACCATTGTTGTTTTACTGTGATCCTCCTCGTCCCCTTTGTTGCCCTTATGGGTCATTACCTGGGCGCTTGGGGAGGTGCGTGCTCGGGGATCACTCTGCTGTTCTCTTGTACATCTTGGTGCGGTGCTTGCTGGGGGCTGCTGTCGTACTCACACACACGGGGCTATACTTCATGGCCACAGTAGGTACCTGCTGGGAGTTGCACCCCTTTGTCATGCTGTTACACGTACCTGGCTGCCGGGTGGCCAGAAATAACTGCTTCTCCTGCCAGGGGTCCCAGACAGCCAAGCCGCTGGGATCACACTTGGCCCCTGTGGTGACACAGGGGATTAAATTTGAGATTTTAATGCTTGCAGGGCAGATACTCTGAGCCACTCAGCTGTTTCTTTGGGCTCCCATGCCATTTTATACGGTGCTTTGTAAATTCAGAGATAATGGAAACACAAAGACCAACAGTCATTGCCAATAATCGAGGTTCTCTTTTTGCCTATGAAAATATGGTCTCTCAAATTTTCCATAGGGAGAGCTAAAGAATACACAAAACCCTATTTAACCTGTTTAATTTTATGCTAAATTTATTTCACTCCAATGGCACAGTTAACTCTCATTTAGTTGTACCAGTTAAGCGTAATATTGGCAGAAGGAAATGAAATTGGTGTATAATGTGCCCAGTTGACTTAGGGCCCTGGAAAAACCCAGCAGGAACTAAATCCGGTCATTGGAAAAGACCAAGACGAGGGGGCAAGCAGCATTTCCTGCCGCGCTCACCACGTCTGTTCTGCAGGCTCTCTAGGAAACGGCTCCAGCTGCTGGTGTGCCTCAGGCAGCCTTGGGGAACAGCCCAAATTAAGCTGACTTCTGCTTTTTTTGTGGCCATCATAAAGGCAAAATCAGATTCCATACATCTATTTTAAAGTTAGGTGTATTTTTACAGCTTTAACACTTTGTCGTTGGCAGAACGGATGAAGGGCAAATAAACTCTGTAATGCTGTGCCGTTTGTTTCTGCTTGAGAGACACGTTCATTTCCCCTCTTTCCTTTTTAATCTTCCTGTTTTCCTTAACGCACCTGCCTCTGAACTCCATTCTCCTCTCTCCCTGCTGTGACAGTTCACTAGCACTACCGAAGCCTCTTTCAGCTGTTTCCACTAACCAGTTGCAAAATAAGGTTGCTTTGTTTGGGGGGGAAAGGGTGGAATTCTTTCTTAAGGTCTCCTTTTCCTTTGAAGCAGGAGCACTTCAGAGACAATTGAACTGCTTTTAGGTTTTTCTTACCACCCAGCTTTTTTCCTGATAGGTCCCGCCGTGAACACACAGTTCTGTTGATGACATCGATTTGTTGCTATGGAAATAGTGGCAGTGTCACAGATCCAGCCCAGTGACTTTACTTCAGGTTCACGCTGGAGAAATAGGCCAGACTTTAGGGGAGAGCCTCATTAAAACTGAAAGCTATCAATTATAAGCAGGTGAAAGGTAAATGGAGCCAACCCTTTATGCACTGAAAACAAAAGTGAACCCCTAGCAAATTTCACTGTACATAGTTGGATCCTCTGCGTGAATTCTGACCCTTGTGAATCTTTGACAAATAAGAAAATTAGACTTTAGAGTATTTTCACCTACTTAAGTTTAAATCTTTAATCCACATTATTTGCATTAAAATGAACTTTCTCTTTTGATCCCAGGACACGCACAGCAGCAGCAGCAGGCTGCTCCCCCCGCAGTTTCAGCAGCCAATCCCCCTGCCAGCAAGCCCCCACAGCCAAACGAGGGTTCGGGAACAGGTAAGATGGCCACATAAGAGCTGTGTCAAGCGTTTGAGTGATGTGTGAAAATTTAATCTGGAACTAAAGGGAGTTTTCAAAATTCCATTCATGGGGCTGGAGATAACAGTGCAGCGGGGAGGGTGCTTACCTTGCCTGAGCTGACCCGCGTTCGATCCCCGACCACTGCCAGGAGTGATTCCTGAGAGCAGGGCCAGTAGTGATCCGTGAGCATTGCTGGGTGTGGCCCCAAAGCAAAAAAAATCCATTCATGAAGGTTTCTTTCTTGCAAAGAATTCTTCCAATTTGGGGACGGTGCAGGAACGGGGAGTGGGGAGTGCCAGGCAATGCTCGGGCCACCTGTGGACCGTTCCCAAGGATACTTGGGCCATCCAGGCCTGGTGCTTGTGGTACCCCGGTTTGGGCTCAGGCCCCAGTGACTGCAGAGCTTGTGGCTCTGCTACTCTGTCTCCTCAGCCCTCCTCCAGATTTTATTGTAAAGTAAGTGACTGAAATGAAATTACAGTCTTTTAAAGATACTTACTATGTCCTTTCTAAACATGAGAACAATGTGCTATTATTCTCTGAAGACAACTTATCTTGTACTTTCCTATACCTTGGTTTTTAAAACTCCTGACTAGACTCACGTACCTTTTTGATTTGATTTGATGTGATTTGGGGGAGGCACACCCAGTCGTGTTGAGGGGGCCACATGTTGCACTGCTGAGGGTTCATATGCTGTGCCAGGACTTAGCTGCATGTAAGGCAAGTGCCTTGACTTCTATTCTCTCTCTCCAACCGGATACAAATATTTTTTTGTTTGTTTATTTTTGGGTCACACCCAGCATTGCTTAGGAATTAGTCCTGGCAGTTACTCGGGGGACCATATGGGATGTCCTAAATTGAACCTGGGTCTGCTTTGTGCAAGGCAAGTGCCCTACCCAATGTACTATAACTCCAGTGACCTATCTCCCCCCCCCCCCTTTTTTTTCCATAGGGACCGCACTCAGTAGTGCTGAGATGCCTAGCAGCCACACCAGGAGAGACTGGGCTTAGAAGCACTGTCCTTGAGGGCCACAAGGGCCTTCTGGTGCTGAGGATCAAATTTAGGGTCCCTGGCCCCAGTAACCTCCGTGCCTGCTGGCTGTGGCATGAGATAAACGTCTGGGTTTGGGAAGTCACCGCTGAAAATTGGGATTCGTTGAGTTAGTTGGGTTTATTTTTAGAGGGCTTTTTTTTTTTCTGTCACAGCTTCACAGACACTATCTCCTCTCCTATTAGTTTCTATTTTTCAGTGCTAAGGTTCTAAGAAAAGTGAGGTTGACGTCACTAATGTTTCAGGACACAGGACTTTTTCCTCCCTGGGTTGAGATGTTTTATCTTCTTCCTTGCAGTATCTCTCTTCTGTCTTCCTTTAAAGTAGGTCTGTTTAGGGGCTGGAGCTATAGCACAGTGAGTAGGGCGTTTGCCTTGCATGTGGCTGAACCGGGTTCGGTTCCCAGCATTCCATATGGTTCCCCGAGCACCGCCAGGGGTAATTCCTGAGTGCAGAGCCAGGAGTAACCCCTGAGCATCACCGGGTGTGACCCCCCCAAAAAAAAGTAGGTCTATTTATATACAAATCTTAAATTATTGTTGAAGGAAGTTGGTGACAGAGGATTTTAAAATGGTAAATAACAGAAAAGTGATTTCCTTAGGCTGAGATACAAATTGTATGTTAATATTATCCTGCTCCCTCCAACTCCCGCCCCCAGATAATTTTTCCAAAAACCTTGTCTGTCTGCAGCTTCCATCAGGAAGTATGTGCACACTCGTATTTTACAAGGCACATGTGCTTCCTTGCATAATTTTAAGGTAATTATTTACTACTGTGTATCTGTAGTTGTCTCTCTTGATGCCCCAGCTAAAATAGAAAATTTTAAGATCTGGGACAGTCTGTGTGTATTTTTACAAAGTGCTACAAATACCTAGAATAGTGTGGTACATGCTGCAGAAACTCAATAAATAAATGCTGGATAGTAGTAGATGTGTGTTTCCAGCCAAATTTCATTCCGAAGAAATGTTGAGTTTAGTAAATATGAAATCGCGGGACTAGATTATATTCTCTGAACTGGGAAATTGAAATTTCACAGAAACCGTGTGCATATCAAGGAGCTCGTCTTTAGTGGCCTGCTCTCTCCGCGGGCAAGACAGGCTTAGGAGACAGGGCTCCTGGTCACCGGCCAGCGTTTGTCTTGAGCCCCGGACTGATTCTCCCATAGTTCTATGCTCTTCAGTTTTATAGACCCCTTGAGGACTGGATTTTCCGGAGGGCGTGTTTTGAGATGATTTTTTTTTTTTTTTTGCGGGGGTATATTGGGTCCGAGCCCCAGGGTGTCACCCATGCAGGCAGGTGCTCTCCCACAGGGCTGTCTGCCTGAGGACACACGAGGGGACATCTCTGTGATGATGGCCCTCATCTCGTGGTTCATTTCCTGTGCCCTTGCTTAACTTTCATTCCTTTCTCACTTTCTTGCTTTTGGACCACACCCAGATGTGTTTTGAGGGCTGCTTCTGACTGGGAGCTCATGAGTTGCTTTGGTAGTGCCAGCAGGTGAGAAAGCGAGTGGTTTTGGGAACAAACCCAGGACCTCACTCGTGCATGGCAAGTGCTCTACCACTGAGCCATCCCTGGCCCTTTGTTTTTTTCCTTATGTGTCTAGTGGTGTACCAGCTATGTTACCAGTCTAAAAGGTTGATTTTGGTTTCTGTTTTTGGGCCACACCCAATGATGCTCAGGAGTTACCCCAGCTCTGCACTCAGGAATTACTCCTGTTGATGCTCGGGGGAACCATATGAGATGCTGGGGATCAAACCCAGGTCAGCCATGTACAGGGCGAGCACCCTTATTATTCTGGCCCCTGATTTCCACCCCACCCCCACTAAATCTCCTCTCCCGACCAGTAATAGATTAAAAAAAAAAAAGTTTAAGGAGGTTGTACACTTGCTTCATTATTATCTTGACGGCAGTGTGTTACTGTTCTTGGTTTTTATTTTTCCCATCAAGAATATTACTAAAAGGGAATGCCCTGCCACAGAGGCAGGGGGGATGGGGGGATGGAGGGTGGGAGGGATCCTGGAATCAGTGGTGGTGGAGAATGGGCACAGGTGGAGGGATTGGTGTTCGATCACTGTATAACTGAAACCCAAGCACAAAAATTTGTAAGTCTACAACTGTACCTCATGGTGTTTCACTAATAAAAATTTTTTTAAAAAAGAAAGAAAAAAGAATATTACTCATTTTGGGGCTGGAGCAATAGTACAGCGGGTAAGGCGTTTGCCTTGCAAGTGGCCGACCCGGGTTCGATTCCCAGCATCCCATATGGTCCCCCGAGCACCGCCAGGGGGGTGATGCCTGAGCATTGCCAGGTATGACCCAAAAAGCAAAATATATATATATATATAATATATTACTCATTTTGACATCAGCAAACATTATGGTGAATTCCTGTGTGTTCAGCTTTCATATTAGATTGCTTCTTTACCTTCCTGTTTCCATTTCCATTTGATGTCCTATTTCTTGGTTATTGAAAAAAGAAAAACTTGCGGGGTTTTTTGTTTGTTTTGTATGGGTTCACCAGTGATTACTCAGTAATTTAGCTTACAGAATTTAAGTAGAATTATGATTGTTATGATTGTCCTCTCTGTTTGTTTCCCCAGGCACCTTTGCAACCAAGGCAGGTGGAGCCTCAAAGATATTTGGAAAATCCGGAGGATCCAGTGTAATGAGCACTCCCGGTGGCACCCAGGCCAAGGTGGTGCCCATTGCCAGTCTCACACCTTACCAGTCCAAGTGAGTGATTCCAGAGTCCGTTCAGAGTATACTTTCACAGTTTAAGAGGTTGTTGTGGGGGGCTGGAGCAATAGCACAGCGGGTAGGGCGTTTGCCTTGCACACAGCCGACCTGAGTTCGATTCCCAGCATCCCATATGGTCCCCTGAGCACCGCCAGGGGTGATTCCTGAGCGCAGAGCCAGGAGTAACCCCTGTGCATCGCCAGGTATGACCCAAAAAGCAAAAGCAAAAAAAAAAAGGGTTGTTGTGGGCTTTTGAGTTATTTGTATGTGGAGTTCAAGAGAATCACCACACACGCAAAATGGGTTTTCTCCTTTTAGGGGGTGGCATGGGTTGAGCTACCGCCTGTGGTGCTCAGGAACTACTTCTGCCTTTGTGCTGAGGGATCACTCCTGGTGCTGGGGGGACCATTTGGGGTGCTGGCGATAGAAACCGAGGTCAGCCGCATGCAAGGCAAAAGCACCTTAACCCCTATGTCTCTCTAGCGCTCTCTCTTTCCCCTTCAGGGATTAATGGGTACAAATGTTAGAAACCTAGAAGTCTTATCAAACCGCTTTATTGCATTTTCCTTTGGTGGCTCACCAACACCCGGCTTCATAATCCTGCGTTTATATTTAGTGTGTTGTAGAAATGAGACAGAAATTTGACACCAATTACATCAGTTCCCATAATTGAAAATAATGGCGAAAACAATTGCTGGTATTACTGCATTTTCTACCTAAGAACTTTTCATTAAGGGGATATTGTTGCCTTGGTGATGTTTTTTTTTTTTTGGAGAAGGGAGAGTTTATAAATTTGCTTATTTGACAGGAAGATGAGTTTGTGAGAAATCACCTGTAGTTTTACTATTTGCTTATTTTTTAAACTGTCAAGCCTATGTCTCCCCTTAGAGTTTTGATGAGCTAAATTAAAATACAGCTGACACTGAAAAATGGAATATGCTTAAGAAAGGCTTTAGCAATACGATAGGATTTCTGATCTCATCCAAGCAAGACTTTGAACATGAGTGTGATCTGCTTGGTTTTTAGGTGGACTATTTGTGCAAGGGTTACCAACAAAAGTCAGATCCGCACCTGGAGCAATTCCCGAGGGGAGGGGAAACTTTTTTCCCTGGAACTAGTGGATGAAACTGTGAGTATTTGTCAGGTGGAGAGATGGGAGTAGTTAACTCCGAGGGTTAACGGGCTCATCTCCCTGTGGATCTGTGAGATAGAAAAGCTCACTGCCGAGGAATAGGCCGGAGAGGAACCTGCTTGTTACTGTTTTTCCCCCCTTCCTTGTGGTCCTCAGGTGTATTGAGTGCAAAGGATAAAAGGTCATACATCCACAACACCCAAAAGAAGAGAGAGAACACAAGGGATTGCCCTGCCACAGGGGATGGGGGGGATGGGAGTGGGAGGGATATTATCCATGGTGGTGGAAAATGGGCACTGGTGGAGGGATGGGTATTTGATCATTGTATAGTCGAGACCCAAGCACAAAAAATTGTAAATCTACAACTGTACCTCTTGGTGTTTCACTAATAAAAAAAAAACCATGCTAAGTTAGCAAAACTAAACTTGTTAGGGTTTCTTTAGAAGGGGAAGAGCCATTGATGGAAGTGTCCAGAAATTCAGAGAAATGGTTTCTCCTTAAATCAAGATGCTGAGTCAAAAAAAAAAAAAAGGTCATACATAAAATTCTTGCTCTTCTGCAACAGCACCTACAGGAGTTCATGCCTAAGTGTCTTCTCGTGTCTTCAGACAGTGGAAACCAGAGACACTCTGTCGGGCTTGCTGGCAGCCTCAGTGGACGCCATTAAGATGGGATGTTGTTTATGTGTCCAGTAGAGTTTTGGGCGGCAGCCAAGCCCGGGCTAGACCTGAACTGGGAATGCTTTTATGGGAGTTTCTTTGGGCTGTGCAAACACTTGACTTAAAAACCAATGCATGATGCAAAGGCAAAATCTCCCAGTTGAGGAATATTTAAAAAGGCTTGTCAGGGGGCCGGAGTGATAGCACAGCGGGTAGGGCATTTACCTTGCACGTGGCCGACCCGGGTGCGATCCCCGGCATCCCATATGGTCCCCCAAGCACCACCAGGAGTAAGTCCTGAGTGCACAGCCAGGAGTAACCTCTGAGCATTGCTGGATGTGACCCAAAAAGCAAAAAAAAGGGGGGGGGGCTTGTCAGCCGTTTCTGTGGTTTTCATTGGTTGGTTTTGGTGTGGGGCTGCACCTGGCAGTGCTGGGGTTCATTCACAGGTTGTTCCTTGGGGTGCTCCTGGCAGTGCTCAGGAGCGAATCTGCATCTCCAACATGCAAGGTATGGGCTCACCCCTTGGAGCGCTCACTGGCTTCTCTGTCCTATTTCAGAGGTCGAGGGTTGTTTCATTTGTTTTGTTTTGTTGGGTCTCGAGGGATACTCAGGAGTCTCAGCCTCCCCTCCAACTCAGTGTTTCTGGACCAACTCAGGCAGCGATTTCAGTGCAAGGGCCTTGTGGTGCTGGGGGTTACCCAATGGTATTCAGGGGTCCTCAGGCCGCCCACAGCATTATTTGGGGAACTCTGAGGTGTTGGGAATTGCAGTGAAGCTGAAGCTACAGCTCAGTAGTAGAGCAAGTATCTTGCATGCTAATGTCCCAGGGTTAACTCCAGCAGTCCCCAAGAACAAAGAGCACGTAGGTAGGGACCAAAGAGCAAGTACTGGGGTTAGGAATAGGGCTTAAATGTAGCTGACCTGGTTCAGTTCCTAATACAGACTTTATTTTTTTCAGAGTGCTGTATATTTCCTTTTTTACTCAAACTGCTAAGAGAAAGAGAAAAATAGATGGTTGGGTTTTGGTTTTGGGAGATGGACTCATAGCCCGACTGTATTGACTAATTATCAGATCCTAGATTATTTTAACCTAATATTTATGTTATCTGTCAGAGGGGTGAACATTTTAGCCGTTTAAATTTCTGAGCCATCTGTAGCATTCTGACTGACGCAAACGTAACAGTGAAAATCAAAAGCACAAGCAACTTGAAAATATTCTAACATTTTTGGCAGCGAGTCTGGCGATGAGGTAATTCCTCCTGACGAACAAAAACGTAAGGGAAGCTGGTGACTCACTGTGGCTCAGCATTTTCTTGTGGGTTTCAATCGTGCCCCTTGGTATTCAGAAGTGTTGTGTTTTTGTTGTTAGAATATTAAATTCATCGTTGGGGTTTGGGATTTTGTTGGTTTTTGTTTTCTGCCACACCTGGCGATGTTCAAGGCTAACTCCGGGCTCTGGGTTCAGGGATCACTCTTGGCAGTCCCGAGGGGCCCCATTTCGGATACCAGGTTGTCAGCTGCATGCAAGGCAATTGCCTCACTCACTGTAGTGTACTGCCCCAGCCCTGGCTGTTGAGGAAGTGGTTGCTTTTGTGGCTATTTCTAACTCGATCCGTTTCATTAGGGTTAATGGATTAAATGTGTGTGACCGTGTTGTGAGTTACCGGTGCCCACTCGAGCAAATCGATGAACAGTGAGAGGACAGTGCTACAGTGCTACAATTCTGACCTCCTCTCATATATGTTTCTTTAGGGTGAAATTCGAGCTACTGCTTTCAATGAACAAGTGGACAAGTTCTTCCCCCTTATTGATGTGAACAAGGTATGGCTGTGTCCAGTCTGGTTCATTGTCAATGTGTAGGGTGTTAGTGGCTGTGTTTGTGAGCAGTTGCGTGGACTCTGCCATGTTCATGGCTGGTCTCTCTCGCAGGTCTATTACTTCTCGAAGGGCAACCTGAAGATCGCCAACAAACAATTCTCAGCTGTTAAGAACGACTACGAGATGACCTTCAACAACGACACTTCTGTAGTTCCCTGTGAAGACGGCCAGCATTTGCCGACAGTTAAGTTTGACTTTATAGGGATTGATGACCTGGAGAACAAGCCCAAAGACTCGCTCATCGGTAAGCCTGTATGAACCGAGGGTGGTGACCACGAGGGGAGGCAGCAGCCTGACGGCACCCACTGCTCCACCTTTGGTCTGGGTGAATGAGAGCCTTGCTAAGACCTGATGCCTGTGTTTTAGACATAATTGGGGTCTGCAAGAGCTGCGAAGATGCCACCAAAATCACGGTGAAGTCCAACAACAGAGAAGTTTCTAAGAGAAATATTTATTTGATGGACACGTCAGGGAAGGTGGTGTGTACGACCCTGTGGGGTGAGGATGTAAGTACTCACCTGAGCCACCGAGCACCCCGTCCATGGTTGCCTTGTCCATTGAGTTGTGTGGTCTCCTTTTAAGACACATTTGTAAATGTTTTACTTCTTTAAGTAAAACCCTGTCTGTTTTACTTCTTTTTTTTTTAACTTTTTTATTGAATCACTGTGAGATAAGCCATTACAAAGCTGTTCGTGATTGGATTTCAGTCATATAGTGTTCCAACACCCATCCCTCTGCCAGTGTACATTTCCCAGCACCAGTGTCCCCAGGTTCCCTCCCATCACCCCCTCACCCCCCACCCCCTGCCTGCTTCTATGGCAGGTGCTTTTTTCTCTCTCCCTTTCTCCCTCCTTCCCTCCCTTCCTCTCTCTTCCTTTCTCCCTCTCTCCCTCCCTCCTTTTGGGCATTATGGTTTGCAATCTTGATACTAAAAGGTTATCCAGAATATCCTTTACCTACTTTTAACCCTCAGCTCTTGTCCAGCATGATCGTTCCAGCTATGAGTGTCATACTGATCTCTTCTCTATCTAACCTACCCTCAGCCCCACACACACTTGTGGTTAGTTCCAACCATTGACCAGTCCACCCAACCTCTGTTTCCCTGGCCGTGCATGTTATTCTTCTACCCCATATATCTATGTCTATATTTATGTGTGTGTGTGTATGTATACGTATATACCACAAATGAATGCAGTCATTCTATATTCTGCGTCTGTGAGATGTGCTTGGGTTTCTGTGTTTACCTAGTGACATACTCTTCACAAATTCGCTCTGCCCTATATCTCTGAGCAGATTCTCACATGTGAGTTTGCCTTCTGTGGACAGTATGTACTGTTTATTGCGTGTGCCCTGCTATTGACTGTTTTTCTTTTCTGTGATACTGTCCCGTGTTCTTCCTGTGGGTGACACTTGTTTGTATTTGATGTTTGTGTTGTTCCACAGGCTGATAAATTTGATGGTTCTAGACAACCTGTGATGGCTATCAAAGGAGCCAGATTGTCTGATTTTGGTGGCCGGAGCCTCTCTGTCCTATCTTCAAGCACAATCATTGTGAATCCTGACATCCCAGAGGCCTATAAGCTTCGTGGCTGGTAGGTTTTGTGGGACTGAACAAAGGGCCCATTTGAGCCGGGACTTTGAGAAGCGCTGGGTCTTTAGTGTTTATGATCAGTATGTGAGCTGGCTGCTGAGCAGAGGGCCTACTTCTAACGGAAACAGTTCCTATATATCTTGGAGGCATCGTTCCTTCTGAGAGGGAGGCTGGCTTACGGGGTCCCACATTGACAAACCTGTAATCCTGTGACAAACCTGGGTTGCTGGAGGAGACAGAATGGAGGTGCTGTGTGCCCACCTGGGCCCTGGCAGAGCAGGGGGAGGGCCGTGCTCTAGCAACTGTGTGCTGAAGGGCTGTAAATTTGAGGGCATCATTCTTTCCCAGGTTTACTGGGCTTCTGCGGGGTGGGGGGGAGGGAGTTTTCCTTCTGGCGATCTTTGGTGCTGATTGCATCTTCTTTTGTGATTTCACTCCACTCTGATAAGTGCAGGGGGAACAATGGGCTTTTGTTGGCATTATGCTGTTGTTCCCAAAGCACTTAAGGGATGAGAAAAGCCTATTAAAATCTCCTCACTGTATCTAGCTTTTTAGGGTGTTAAAACTCTGCCTTAAAAGAGCACTTCAGACTTGAAGCTCCCTTTGCAAGAATTGATGTGGTCAGGAAAAACACTAGCTCAGGCTTAAATAATTTGTATAACTGTAGTAGCCGGGGCAAGTATGCTGGTTTCCAGCTGTGTCTCGGGGTTTAAGTAACTAAAAAATTAGCTCTCAGGCCAGAGAGCGAGCCCAAAGGGCTGAGGGTCTGCTTTGCATGCCATAGCCCAGGTTTGATCCCCAAAACTACGTGTGTCCCTGAGCACAGAACCTAGAATAGTCCCTGAGCACCACCAAGTGAGTGCCCCTTCCCAAGAATGAGGATTTTTTGTTTGTTTGGGTTTTTTTGTTTGTTTTTTTGGGGGGTTTTTTTTTTTTTGGGTTTTTGTTTTTGTTTCTGTTTTTTTGCTATTTGGGTCATACCCAGCAGTGCTCAGGGGGGTTACTCCTGGCTCTGCACTCAGGAATTACTCCTGGCAGTGCTCGAGGGACTATATGGAATGCTGAGAATCGAACCTGGGTTGGTCGTATGCAAGGCAAACCCCTACCACTATGCTGTTGCTCCAGCCCTAAGAATTAGTTCTTACTATATACTCTCTACTTGGTTTACGGGCTCATGTGGACCAGGATTTAAAGTTACATGCACTATCTACTGACTGGACTGTTCTTGTCATGAAGCCAACCTCAGGCATATGAATACGCGGATCTATATTTAACTATTCTAGTAGCTGCCATTGAAGATCTATTAATAGTCTTACCAGAAACACGTACCACTTTGGTTGGTCACTGTTATTGATTTTTTTAATTTATTTTTAATTTATTTATTTTCCCTTTCAGGCTCTGGAGCCTGGATTGGCTTAATTGAATGCCAGGGCTTTCTTGCTTAGGGCCGAGGGGCGGGGGGCTTGGGGTCTCACCTGTCTCTGTGCTCAGGGTCAACTCCTGGCACTGCTCAAAGGACAGTATGTAGTGCCAGGAATCTAGCTGGGGTTGACCACAGGCAAGGCAAGTACCTGAGCCCCTGTTCTATCTCTCCAGCCCAAGGACTTCACACTCTGCTTGTTAGTGACCATTCATGGTCCCATTCACCACAAAGACGAGACTGTCACCAGGATAAAATGAGAGCTTTGCTCAAGTTCAGTGCACATCCCACACCTTGGGAAGGATTGGAACAGTTCAGCTCTTTGTTATAACTGTGGTGTTTCATTTGTGTTTTAATGGCTTGGGGGCGGTGCCTAGTGGTACTCAGGGAACCAGACGGTGCCAGGGATTGAGCTTGTATGTCCCGCATGCATCACAGCTGTGTGCTTCAGCCTGTTGAACCATCTTCCCAGCCCCCCGTGTGGACTTGGGGGAGATTTGGGGGAGCACACAGAGCTGTGCTCAGGGCTTCCCTCTGCTTCTGTGCTCAGGGAATCACTCCTGGTGGTGCTCAGGGAACCTTGGGTGGTGCCTGGAATTACACCTGGGTCTGCTGCCATGCGCAGCAAGCACCCGGCCAACCGGGCTATCGCTCTGGCCCCAGAGAGCGGAATTTTTAGTGAAAGGAGAGCTCTCTCCTTGCTCTGATGACTCTTCATGAGCTGTCTTTGGTGGCAAATGCCTCCTTGCAGTCTTTAAAGCTGTAAAATTGTGTCGTTAGTAGTGGGGAAGCAGATTTATGGGCGCTGCTGTCCCTCTGATGGATCTAGCCACTAACCTGACAGACTGAGAAGGCGATTGTAGCTCCAGGTGACATCCTTCTGTGAGATGGCCTCCTGAGCGAGCCTGCTCCGTGTGTGGTTAGCTTTCAGTCACCCTCCTTTGGGATGACACTGGCGAGTGTTTTGTAAATTGCAGGCTGCAGGTCACAAGCAGATTTCTGGACCCCTTTCTGCCCATTTCTTCATATGACCTGGTTTATGATCAGGGCTGGAGAGAGCTCAAAGAGTCGAGCGCATGCTTTGCAAGCAGGAGGACCCAGGTCTGGTCCCTGGCACCACCTGCTTTCCTGAGCACTCCCTAGGAGTCAGCCCTAAATACAGAGTATTGGAGACCTAGAGGCCCACCAAGTGTGGCCCCAAAACGAAATAAACTGATGGGTGATCAAGAAGTATTATCAGCGTCTAAGTTGATTTTGACTTTCACATTGCCCTAAGTAAAACCTCTCTAAGAAAATAAATCTGCAAGAAGACATAGTTACTTTATCTAATAAATTGCTTTGGGCCATATACTCCGTGGATTCTATATCAGGTTTATAAATTCTTTCACCACTGAAACATTTTTGCTACGCTGTTACAGCACGCTGACCCTTTCTGCCCTGACAGTGATGATAACATATTGGCAACGGAGAGAAGGACGCCATTTCCATGATTGCTTTTTTTGGTATTGACTTGCTGGCTGACTGTTTTTAGGCGTGGGCCCCTGTGGTGTTGTTGCTATGCAGGGCAAATTTAAGAGCTCGCTCTGTGGGGGCCTGGGAAAAGGCTCAGGCGGCAGAACCTCAGCCTGGAGTTCACAGAGCCGGAGTTCGGCCCTTGGCGTTGCTTGCCTTGCCTCGCCAGCTCATCAGCAGAACCGGAAACAGCCCTGGTGACCAGCATTGCTGGTCCGAGCACCAAAGTTAGCTGCCAGGTCGAGCATCTCCAGGAATAGCCCCTGGGCCCCTGTGTTCCTCAGGATTATGACCCCCAGTAATGTAGCACTGTGGCACTGTCCTCCCTTTGTTCATCCATTTGCTCGGGCGGGCACCAGTAACGTCTTGTTACTGTTTTTGGCGTATCAAATACGCCAACGGAAAACTTGCCAGGCTTTGCCATGCGTACTGGATACTCTCGGTAGCTTGCCGGGCTCTCCTAGAGCGACAGGGGAATTGAACCCGGGTCTGCCGCGTGAAAGGCAAACACCCTACCTGCTGTGCTATCACTCCAGCCCCGCTGTGTTCTGTGTACTCTAGCACTGTCTTGTGGTGTTTTTTGTTTTTGTTTTTTTTTTTTAAGAAGGGGACCTCCGTAGTGATATTGGGGCCACCAGGACTATATCAGGTCCTGCTCGGGAGGCCAAGTGGGCTGGGAATCAAACCCAGGGCCCTGTGCATTCCAGACCCTGGGCTCTGCCCCTGGCCTAGTACTGTCTTGACCACTGGGGGGCATCAAAGCAGCTGCAATAAAAAGAGGTCATTGTTTTCTTGATTAGACTTAGCACACAGACAAAGAAGTTCCTAGCTTAAATCTGGCCATAAACAAGTGGCATAATCCCTAAGTAGATTCTGTGCCTCAATCCAGTCCTTTTGGTTTATTTTTCAGGTTTGACTCAGAGGGACAAACCTTAGATGGTGTGTCTATCTCTGATCTCAAGAGTGGGGGAACAGTGGGGAGCAGCACCAACTGGAAAACCTTATACGAAGTTAAATCGGAGAACCTGGGCCATGGAGACAAGGTATCTCGTGCGCCTGACTTTCTTCCCAGAAGCACGTGGGTTGTGATATCTGATACCCATGGCCAGACATTAACTCCCAGCCAAGATTCTTTCTCGGGCCCCTGACCAGAGCATAGCATGATGGTTGAGAATTGCTGGCAGAGTTGACTGTCAGCGTTTATTTTATATCAAGGAAGAAAAATGTGGAGAACTCTGACTTAGAAAATTGACTGAGCCTAGGGGAATCTTAAAGAAGTGGTTCTCGCCGAACTGTGACTTAGAATAAAGTACTCCCTCCAGGCCTGACTTCTTTTCTGTGACTGTTGGTGCCATTGACAGGCCCACATACCCCAAGCCTGCTTGGGAAGACGAGACTCACGCTGAGCATTCGTCACGCACAGCGCCTGGAGTCGGGCAGTTCACAAGCACTTTCCCCGATGGGAATATTGACTTCCTGTGTGCTGGGAGGTGTCAGTGTTCAGTGACAAGAATTGGCTGTTATCGACCTTCAGTTGCAGCTTCCCGTCACTGTTATTTAACGATGCTCCTATTTGATCTAAACTTGTGTCTTGCCAACAGTTCCATATTTAATGGGGAGGGGGGGGGTTCATTCTTCAGGGAGCCTGGGGGTCATCCCCAGAGATACTTAGCCCCATTCTACAGTGCTGCTCTGGGCCCACCAGATCTAGGGATGCTTGTGAAGCCCTGTGGGGTCTGAGATCAAACTTGGGGCCATGACTTGTCCTTCAAGCACGTGTTCTAGCTTGGATCTTTCAGTGTGTCATTGCTTGCTTGCTTGCTTGCTTGCTTGCTCTTTTACGCTCGTGCTCTTCCGTCTCCCCTGCTCCCATCTTTCTAAGCAAGTTCTGTTCAATGAAAACTACCTTGCATCACTGAAAACAAACAGACTCAGGGCCTTGTGCATGTGAGGCATGTGCTCCAGCCCTTTGAGATACTTCTTGGCCCCTCCACCCCCCGAAATGTAGATCTCATTTCTCCTTTATGCTCCCCACCAGGCAAATCCTGCTTTATAATTTTCTTATTCTACAGTACAGGTTTTGTTCCTTACTGTCTCATTTTGCTGTGCTGTGAATTCATCATTGTCACAATCTCTGACTGCTCTGCGGCTTTTTGAGAATAAAACATTGTGATGTCCTGTTCTGGGAGTATCCGTGGGGGATACACCATTTTTCACTGAATTCATCTTAAATGTAAAAGAAGTTTATAAATCTATAGTAAGAACAGGGGTCGGAGAGATAATTCAGGGATTAAGGCACGTACCTTGCTTGTGACTGACCCTGGTTTGGTCTCCTGAGTGTCACAGGCATCGCCCTGAAGCCCTTGGTACCTCCAGGATGACCCATCAAAAAGAAAAAAGAAAGAAATCAAACCCAGAGCATCCCTATTTGTACCAAACTTTCAAGTCATGTTTGGAATCTGGACAATATCTGAAAGTGAAGCAAGGAAAGTTCCTTCCCAGCTTCATGCCCCAACCCAGAGCCTTCAAGATTTAGGGACTCATCTAAGCTCCCTGTTACCTACATTATTGTTTTGCCTCTTTCAGTCTCAGAGAATGGGAAGCCCTGGAGATTGCTGACCCGGCTCTTAGTATACTGAGAAGAATTGCTTACCATAAAATTGCACAGATTTTTGGTGAGAGTTAAAAAGCAAAGGAAGGGGCTGGGAATCTAGCTCAAAGGGCTGGCGTGCGTGCCTTGCACGCGTGGAAGCCCAAGTTTGAGCCCCACCGCACATGGCCCCCAGAGCTCTGGGTGCAGCCCTGGTGTCCCATTGTGCCCCAGCCTCACGTTCCACCTAGAAGTCACTTAGTTCATTATTTTGCATTTTTAATCCTGGAGTTGACAAACTGGCACAGGCCAAGTTCAGCCTGCCACCTGCTAATGTGTACAGAGTTCTATTGGAACACAGCCACATCAGTTCATTTACATCTTGTTGATGGACACTCTCGCCCCGCAACAACTTGGTTGAGTAGCTGCAACAGAGAATGACCAAATGGCTTGTGGAGCCTGAGGTGTTGGTCCCCCCTCTTGCTTGCCCATGAATTCTTTTTTTTTTTTTTTAATGGATTTGTTTTGTTTTGTTTGAGGGGGAGGGGTGTTTGATTTGGAGTTGGGGCCATATCCAGTGGCACTCAGGACTTACTACTGGACTCAGGACTTGGTCAGGGATCATTCCTGGCGGGGTTCAGGGGACCATATGGGGTACCGGAGATTGAACCCAGATCAACTGTGTGCAAGACACATTCCCGGCCCACTGTACTATCTCTCCAGCCCCTATAATGTTGTTTGGCTTTGATTTTGATTTTGATTTTTGGCTCTGTGCTCATGGGTCATTCCTGACAAGGCCCTGAAGACCAGCAGTGCCAGGTACCGGGGATTGAACCCGGCCAGGCCTCCTGCATGTATAAAATGCTTTCCTTACTTTTTTTCATACATCTTTTTTAATTTCTTTGGTGGGGGAAGCCGTGGAGGCACACACCTGGCAGTTTTCAGGAGTTACTTTTGGCTCTACACTCAAGAGTTATTCCTGGCAGTGCTTGGGGGACACTGTGGGATGCCAGGAATTGTACCCGGGTCGGCCTCGTGCAAGGCAAACACCTTACTGGCTATGCTATTACTCTGGCCCTGAAACTCTCTTTGAGGCAGGTTTTGTTTGTGGTTTTTATGTGTGTGTGGTTTTTGTTGTTGTTGTTGTTTTTAATTTTATAGTGTCAGGAATCAAACTCATGCATGTTCTGCCACCACATCATCCCAACCTCCTCTAATTATGTGGCTTTTGCAGGGCAGTTTTGATTTTTTTCTTTCGGGGTCACACCCAGCAAATGCTCAGGAGTTACTTCTGGCTCTGCACTCAGGAATTACTAGCAGGGGAGCTCAGGGGACCATATGGGGTGCCACAGATTGAACCCTGGTCAGCCGCGTACAAGGCAAGCACCCTACCCACTGTACTATCGCTCCAGCCCCCCTTTAATTTCTATTGGGCCAGAAAGATAGTACAGTGGGTAAGGCACTTACTTGCCTTGTACACCGTCAACCCAGGTTTGATCCCACATGATCCTCTGAGCATCGCCAGGAGGGATCCCTGAGTAAGAGTAAACCCTGGTCACAGGCAGGGTGGCCTCAAATCAAAACAAAGGAAGACGGGGAGGAATGGCCGAACCTGAGCACTCTAGATTTTACTGCATTGCTCTGAATTCTCTAGGTCCCTTCAGAAGAACAGGAGGTGCAGTCTTTGTTTTTAATGGCCTCTTTCAGCTTTAATTAAGTCTAGAATTAACTCTTCTTGTTAAGAAATGTTGTTTCTTAAAATTGGTTTATTATCTTTCTGGCTTTTGTAGTCCTCGCAGTTGACTTCTAAAACGAACACAGAGTGAAATGTTCCCTGCATTCATCTTGTGATCTTTAGAGTTGGCATATATAAACACGCTTATATGGAAGGGCAAGCTCCAGGCTGCCTCTGAGTTTAATTCTAAATGTAGGCTGGTCTTGTGTCTTTTTCTGAAGGCAGACTATTTTAGCTCTGTGGCGACAGTGGTGTTTCTGCGCAAAGAGAACTGTATGTACCAGGCCTGCCCGACTCCAGACTGCAATAAAAAAGTGATCGATCAGCAGAATGGATTATACCGCTGTGAAAAGTGTGACCGTGAATTTCCGAATTTCAAGTATCGCATGATACTGTCAGTAAGTAGAAGGAGTAAATAAAAACATAGTAGTGTCTCTGGCTGGTCGGTCGGTTGGTTGGTTGGCTGGCTTGGGGCAGCACCAGCTGTGCTTGGGACTTAGGGCTCACTCCTGGCTCTGTGCTCAGGGATCATCCCTGGCGAGCTTAGGGGAGCTTTTGTGGTACCTGGGATTAACCTTGCAAGTGCCCTACCCACTACACTATCGCTCTGGCCCCTGGTTTCTTGAGTCCCTGTGGAAGCAGTGGTAAAAAACAAGATCACTAATGGTGGGGAAACTTCAGCTGAGTAGATGTTAAAGAGTTCATTATCCTATAACTACAGAAGGGAGAGATTTTCGCTCAACTTAAAACAGTGGTCTTTTTTTTTTTTTTTTTTTTGACTAAAAGCTATTTTTCACACTGAAAAGTTGTGTGCAGCTACCTGGGTGATTTCAGTCCTCGAGCATGTGGCAGTTACTGCATCAGTGTCACTAGCCTGCCAACTGTTAAGTAAATGAATTTGAAATGGCCTTTCTGGAGAGCAGCCACGTGATAACTTGCACAGCCGAAACTTGGGTTTTTCCTCACAGATAATCCTCCCCCTAGCCTAAATTGGGCTTGCTTGAGGAATGGGACAGCATGCTGATTCAGGATTGTGACTTTTCTCATGGTAACAATTGTTTCTGCTTTAAAAGCACTTAGAGTGTGGGCCAGAGTTGTGACTCCAGAGGCAGTGGGGCATGTGCCTTGCAAGTGTGAGACTCTGGAATTGTCCCCTGGCACTCCCCCCCAACACAGGGTGTCATTCTAGCATTACCCTCGGAATAGCAAAAGACCCTTTCAAATGAAAACATTACCATTTTCTAAAAATGGTACTGTTAAGTGATTATGGGCTGGAGTGATAGCACAATGGGTAGGGCGCTTGCACACAGCAGACCCGGGCCAACCCCGGTTCGATTCCTCCACCCCTCTCGGAGAGCCCGTCAAGCTCCCGAGAGTATCTCGCCCGCACGGCAGAGCCTGGCAAGCTACCTGTGACATATTCGATATTCCAAAAACAGTAACAAGTCTCACAGTGGAGACATTACTGGTGCCCACTTGAGCAAATTGATGAACAACAGGAGGACAGTGCTATACAGTGCCAAGTGATTCTAATAATACACAAGAAAATGCACATTGGTTTTCCTAGGAGATTGGCAGAAGCCTTAAGATGGTTGTTTTTGTTTTGTTTGAATGCCACACCCAGCAGTGCTGAGGGGTTATGACTCTGCATTCAGGGATCACTCCTGGCAAGTGCTCAGAGGACCATATGGGACACTGGGGATCAAACCCCGTTGGCTGAATGCAAGGCAGACGCCCTCCTCATAGTACTATCACTCTGGCCCCAGATGCCTAAAAATGTTTGACAGGTACCTAGTATGTTGCTGCTCTCGCCATGTAGACTGGGTATCCTTTGCAGCTGTATAGAAAGAGGGTGAACTGCGATTTTTTTTTTAAATAGTTTTAGAGTTGGTGTGGAGGGGGAGCAACACGCTCTACCCCTTGAACTACATTCCTGTCCTAGTTTGTGCTGCCTGGGATGCTCACAGGGGCCGAGCCTTCCAGAGAACACCTCCTCTGGCGATGGGAAAATGTACAGTTTGAGTTTCAGAGAAACAGTCCTGGCTTACTAAGTCTCCTGTAGAACCTTGAGGCACTGCCCCAGGCCAGGGAACTCTCCAAAGCCCCAACCGCCCCAACCGTGGTGGAGACTGGGCTGTGTGTGTCCCAGTGCCACAATACAGCGGGGTCTCACACAGGCACACTTGCTGCATCCACAGTGTGCCCAGTCACCACCACTAAAGTGGTAGTGGCTCACATCCCCACAACAACAAAACAGAGGGAAGGGGCACTGTAGCACTGTCCTCCCGCTGTTCATCCATTTGCTCAAGCGGGCACCAGTATCGTCTCCATTGTGAGACTTGTTACTGTTTTTGGCATATCGAATATGTCACAGGTAGTTTGCCAGGCTTTGCCATGTGGGCGAGATATTCTTGGTAGCTTGCTGGGCTCTCCGAGAGGGACAGAGAAATTGAACCCAGGTCGGCCGCATGCATGGCATATGCCCTATGTGCTGTGCTATTGCTTCAACCCAGAGGGAAGGGGAAAGGGAGAAACATTTCAGTCCTGGGCCATGAAGATAGTACAGCAGCTAAGGCACTTGCCTTGCACGCAGCTCACCCTAGTTCCATCCCCACTGCCCCGTAGGGTCCCCCAGCACCACCAGGAGTGATCCCTGACCTCTGCTGAGGAGTACAACTGTGGTTCTCACTCCTCTCCCCTGCGCAAAAAGGGGGGGCAAAAACAAGGCACACGCTAGCAGGCTTTAGGGGTACTAAGTCCCTTTAATGTGTCTGGATTCCCTCAGAAAGAGCTTTGAGTAAACTCTTATCTTTACCAAGATTTAAAATCACTCATCCAGGAGCATATTGTCTTCCTGTTGCAGTCCAGACTTAAATTGTAACTGTGTCACTTTTCAGGCCCTTTAGAAAGATAGCACCTCTAGTTACAATATAAATGTTCTCCTGGAAGTTGTCTTCATGAGTGGGAAAAGTTTATCTCCCCTACCCCCACCCCACCCCCTATCTCTTGATTGTGTCTTCCTCTTCTCCTGTGTTTGCTAAAATAACAATGTTATGTCTTTTAGGCAAACATTGCTGATTTTCATGACAACCAGTGGGTCACTTGTTTCCAGGAGTCTGCAGAAGCTATCCTCGGGCAGAGCACCGGTTACCTTGGAGAGCTAAAGGAGAAGGTTGGCCACACCTTGCATTAGCGCTCTAATAGTTTCTAGGCAGTAACGCCTCTTTTCTCTTTTTTGTTTTCTTTTGTTTGTTTGTTTGCGATAGCACAGCGGTAGGGCGTTTGCCTTGCAAGCGGCCAACGTGGCCGACCCGAGTTCGATTCCTCCGCCCCTCTCGGAGAGCCCGGCAAGCTACCGGGAGTATCTCACCCATACGGCAAAGCCTGGCAAGCTACCCGTGACATATTCGATATGCCAAACACAATAGCAATTGTCACAGTGGAGACGTTACTGGGTCCACTCGAGCAAGTCAGTGAACAATGAGAGGACAGTGACAGTTTTTTGGACGACTTTCGGTGCTCAGGGGGCTGAGAGCAGGGCCCCAGCACACCGAGGGTGCGCTCAGCGAGTGAATAAGATTTATTCCTGTGTCTCTGCCTTCCCCCTCTATCATTTTGTCCATGAGATCGCTAGACATAATTCCAACAAACTTCTACAGAAATGACTGGAATTGACTTTAAAGTGTAACGGTCTCTTTTCTCCATTTTTCTTGGTCTTTTCATATCAGATTTTAAGACTCGAGGCAGCTTTTCAGGATTTTTTATGACATTATTATATTTGACTATTTTTACTGCTGCTGAATGAGACAATATAGTCACTCTCCCCTTAGGAACCATAGATTGCTGGAGTCTATGCGCCAAGCTTTCCCCAATCTTAGAAGAATAACAGCAGCTGGTATAACTTTGTGAAGACTCATTGTTGTATTTACGTATCTGAAAACCCACTGGGGTGGTCAGGGAGGGGAAAGGAAAGTAAACTGGCTTTTTTCTTTTTAAAGAGAATTCTGGAAGCTGGAGAGATAGTACAGTGGGGAGGGCACTTGCCTCACATGCTGCCAACTTGGGTTTGATCCCTGGTATCCCGTATAGTCCCCTGAGCACCGCCGGGTGTGGCCCAAAAAACAAATAAATAAGACTACTGCATAAGAAAGCTGTTTTCATGTTCCATGTGACTTGCCAAGCTTACACATGGCTGATAGGAACTAAATTCTAATGTTTTTAATGTTTGAGTGGTGGGTTGTCTTTTTTTTTTTTTCTGATTAGAGCTGTTTATTTTTATGTGTGTTTATATAAAATGCGTTCTCTAATCCCACTCAATTTACCAGGCTTTTAGTAAGATTAGATAGTAGTTGGGTGAAAGAGGGAGAGGATGGATTGTTTTCAAATACTTCCCTAATTTTTCACCCAACTTCTTTACTTGCTCAACAAATCAGTAATGAGGCTGGAGCGGGTAAGGCATTTGCCTTGCACGCAGCTGACCTGGCTTTGATCCCCAGCATCACATACGGTCCCCCAGAACTGCCAGGGAGTAATTTGTGAGTTCCGAGCCAGGAGTAACCCCTGAGCATTGTCTGTCGGGTGTGATCCCCCCGGGAAAAAAATCAGCTCTCAATACAGAAGCTAAAATAATACGTTATCTATGAAATTTGAACCTTTTTCCTGAGTGTTTCTGTTGTTTGGTTGGTGTGTTGTCGGAGCCGCATCCAGCAGTGCTTCAGCGACCCTACGTAGTTGGTGATCCGGCCTGGCACCCCACAGCCACAGCCTGTGTTCCAGCCCTGTTTGCCATCTCCCCAGCTCTCGGCTTTTAATTAATGATGAAGACACTTGGCCTTAGATGTGTTGCATCACAAGCTTTGAGGGTTGAGAAGTGTGTTTTCTTAAGTGTTTCGGGGCTTTTAAAAAATTGTTCTAGTAAAATATCATACTAGAAAATTCACTGGGGAGGGAGTGGGGGGACCAGGGAATGCAGGAGGGCGAGAGGAGAGCAGGGAGGGATGGAGGGTGTGCATGCATGCAGGTGCGTGCGTGCGTGCGTGCATGTGTGTGTGTGGCCATGGCAGGGAGGGCGTGCGTGCGTGTGGGGTGTGTGTGTGCGTGTGCGTGTGTGTCTGCCATGGTGGGGAGGGTGTACGTGCAGGTGTGTGTGTGTGTGTGTGTGTGTGTGTGTGTGTGTGTGTGTGTCCATGTCCATGGCGAGGAGGGTGTGCGTGCATTCGAGTGCTCTCGCATGTTAGGATAGAGCCCAGGGCCTCACAACGTGCACACTAAGCGCTTTGTTGCTGACCTACATTCCTGGCCTCTCAGGCACTCCTCCTTTTTACTTTATGTAATTGAGGTGACAGGGTCCAGTTCATTTCTGGTTTTTATAAGGTCAGTGGCTCTTGCAGTCACATTGCTGGGTAGTCACAACTGCCGTCTGTCTCCAGAATTTTCCATCCTTTCAGACTGAAACTCAGTCATTGAGTGATGGCTGCCATTCCACCCTCCCTGCCCCTCCGCCCCAGTAATCATTGTCCTATTTCCTGTCTGTGAAGGTACAACTACTCTGGGTAAAATATTTTATTATTCTTTTTATTATTTTCATAAAGTTGTTCACAATATTTGATTACACTTAATATTTGAATGCCAATGCCACCACCATTACACCTTCCCACCACCATATTTCCATCCCGAACCCCAAACCCTGCCCCCAAAGTAGAACCGGAATAATTTATTTTGTATTGCTTGTAATGAATAATCCGCTAGAAGTGATCCAAGAAAGGTTTCTTAGAAGAAAGTGTGTGAAGATTCTTAGAGGAAAGTATTTCTCCCAGGCAGGAGCCGGAGATTAATAACATGTTGTTAAAGGTTGAGCTGGATGGATGGATGGATGGACGGACGGACGGACGGACGGACGGATGGATGGGTGGGTGGGTGGGCGGGTGGGTGGATGGGCGGATGGATGGATGGATGGATGGATGGATGGATGGATGGATGAGTAGATATCTGTAAAAATATATTTCTGCCTATGATTGGTTGTCTTCTACTTTAAACCCCATCAAATATGGTGCATTACTCTTGGTTTATCAGTGGTGTAAAGAATGCATTCGCGGCCGCATGGTCCAGGAATAGACTGACTCATGGGTGAGTCCTGTCTGAGTGTGTAGAGTGACCATGAGCATGGCAGCGGGTGAGTTCTAGAGGTTTTCAGCTGCCAGGGCTGGCTCGTTGGGGCGGGGAGGGGACCTCACCCCAAATGAAACAGCCTGGTTCAGGGTAAAATATTTTAATTTTCAGTAAGATTCTGCTTTAACAGCTTTATGTAACAAAGTATCACCTATCGATTAGTCATTCCTAAGTAATTTCAAATGACTGGGTTGGATCATTTTTCTCACATTTCTCTCAGTGTTTCCAAAAATCTTACAGATCTATTTTCGGTGATCCCGTAGTTTCCATGCCTACACATGTTAACGTTTTTTTCTTTGCAGAATGAACACGCGTTTGAGGAAGTCTTCCAGAATGCCAATTTTCGATCTTTCACATTCAAGATCAGGGTCAAACTCGAGACATACAATGTAAGTGAGGGCAGCCTCCCCGCCGGGCTTCCCCCAGGGCTGCCGAGGGTTGGAGCAGGCAACAGCTGCTGTCACCACAGCTGTGACCCACTCCCAGCCTCGTTGTTCGAACCGTGCCCAGCGTGAAACTCCCAGGCTTGTGTGTTGATCACACATTAAATTTCCCCAGCACTGGGTGCCATTCCCATCCCCATTTTCAGACGAGACTCTGAGAGGTGATATGTCTCTTTAGTGTCACAGATATCTAAGGAGGAACTTGCTATGTAGCCGCCTCAGCTAAAACCTCCAGGTTTGGGACTGGAGAAATAGTACAGCAAGTAAGGCATTTGCCTTACATGCAGCTAACCCCTATTCAATCCTCAGCACTGTACATGGTCCCCGAGCACCACTAGGAGAGATTCCTGAGCACTGAGCCAGGAGTAAGCCCAAAGCATCACAAGGTGTGGTGCCCTAGGAACCCCTCAAAAACAAAAACCCTCAAGGTTTTTATGTTTATTGACAAAGAGTGATCATTTGTCCAGTGGACTCTCATCTTCCATATATCTTCTCATCTTGGGTTCTTTGCTTCCTTCTGGGCATCCTTCACCTCTGCCTCTAAAAGCTCTGTTTAATCCCTGGATAGAAATAAATGAAAAGTGAACTCTCAGCACCTCTGCTTATCCCGGGGTTTATGCATTAGGGGGTTTTAGGTCCTACTGTAGTGAATATGTCCCTGGACCGCGCAGCTGCTTTATCATAAGTGTCATATGACACTCTACCCATTTTCCATAATTACTACACCATATTTGATGGGGTACAGACAGTAGGCAAAAAGTCAGAGAGAAAAATATACATAAGCTCCCCGTGACGTACTCGCTATGCCAAACACAGTAACAACAAGTCTCATGATGGAGACGTTACTGTGCCCGCTTGAGCAAATCGATGAACAACGGGAGGACAGGACCGGACCGGACCGGTGCGCCTCTTGGAGAGCCCGGCAAGCTACCTGAGAGTATCCCCCACACACAGCATAGCCTGGCAAGCTCCCCATGGCGTATTTGATATGCCAAAAACAGTAACAATAACAGGTCTCATTCCCATGACCCTGAAGGAACCTCCACTCATTAGGAAGGAAGAGTAAAGAGGCTGCTAAAATCTCAGGGCTGGGACATATGGAGGCGTTACTGGCGCCCACTCGAGTAAATCGATGAACAACAGGATGACAGTGATACTATAGTACTTACAAGTTTGTTTTTGTGAGTGGCGGATGCAGTAGGAATTCAGAGTTCTGTGATGCAATGAGGACCGGATGGGTTGGAGTGTGGCCAGGGAAGATGAAGTGCAGAGAGCAGCCTTCCCCGCCTCTCCCCTCCCCACCCCTACCACAAACCCGCACCCCAGAACTGAGACGTAGCTGAGACCACATCTTCCTCCTCTGCCACAGGTGCTTTTCCTTCTGTACCACATTGAGCTGCTCTAGAAATGAAAAACGAGCTTTCAAGAACTGGCTGTGTGGTTCGAGGGAAGTCACTGGTTCTCTCTGGTCTCCTCTTTCTGCCTCTGCAGAGAGAAGCCACTGAATTCGATCTGCCTACCACGGTCCATCTCTTTCGGATCTAGTTTGCTGTGTATTTAGGAGCAAGCAGAAAGGAGTTTGAAAAGGGCCTGTGTGAAAGGAAAGATCTGTCTACTTTCTGGCCCACGAGATTTTGGGTCCTGTCTCCCCCCACCCCCACTGGAACTCCTAAACTCTGGATTCAACATGCTTTTGTAGTCTGTAATGCTGGGCTCGTTGATAAACCAGACGGTGTTATCACCGCTGCTCCAGGGCACGCTCACAAACTGCTTTTTTCTTCTACAGGATGAGTCTAGAATCAAGGCCACCGTGATGGATGTGAAGCCCGTGGACTACCGAGAGTACAGCAGACGGCTGATCACGAGCATCAGGAGAAACGCCGCCATGTGAGAAGAGCTGGGTCGAGCGGACAGGAGCTTGAGAAGAAAGAACTGAAATGGAATTGATTTCCTCCGTGCCCCTGCTACTCAGTGGGCAGAGCCTCCTTACGGGGGACTAAGCCGCGTCCTTTCTCTGCCTCTTAGGACCAGTGGGAGGCAAAGGAAAAGAGGCTCTGGTGGCTGCAGGACAGACCATCGGCGCGGGTGGTCGGGCGGCAGTTAGGTACCAGTCAGGCTCTTTGTCCTCAAGCCCTTGTCCGTTTTTTTGTTTGTTTGGGTTTTTTTTAATTCCATAATCTTCATAGCAAGAATTATGTGACTGCTCACTCACCCTAAATCCGTATCGAGGAAATAAATTTTTATGTAACTCAGGTCTCTGCCCCCCGAGGCGACCCCTTCCCAATTTGGGTTTCTTCTCAGGAGGGAGAACCGAGAAATGGTTGTGTGGAACCTGGGTGTTCTCAGAAGCCTGTCTTTCTGAAATTCAAAAGCTCGTTCTTTCTAGAGGTTCCAGAACGTCGTTAATGCTTAGAATGGCAATACGGTGGAATTATTAATCAAAGGCTTATCTTTTATATCTGAAGAATATCCTTCCTTCAGGGTTTAATAGGCTGAGTCAGATGGGTCTGACATTAATCAAAATTGTCTCTTCTGAGGAAGGCTGATAAGCATTGACTTGCTGTCCCCCGGGGATATCTAGGCAACTACAAAGCATTGCTTTAGTTTTCACTTCAATTAATGTTGTTTTCTCGTTGTTGAGTGCACTTTCCCGTACATACTGCTTGCATTTGTATGTTTCATTTCTTGATTAAAGTTAAGTTTAAGGGAGAAGCCCTTCGTTTCTCTTGACTTGTCTTGATAAACAGTATATTCTCCACTGTGAATGCCACTTTTCTTTGACTGCAAAGGGTTCTGGTACTGGAAAGCAATTAATTAGGCTTCATAATAAATGTTCACTTGAAGGAGATGTTAACTCATTTCAGAATTCAAAGATTAGTCCAAGACATGCAGTTCACTCTTCCTAATGTTTGTATCACTGAAATATATCTTAAAGAGAGGAAACATTATGAACCAAAAGCCATTGTGCCCGGGAATGCTGATGATCCGACACTTTGGGATTTTATTGATGTTTACACAGCAGCTGAACACACCAAGCAGACTTTGAAATGTGTACAGACAGTGAGCTAGTAAGAAAATAGTAATTACGCTACCAGGCTTTGCAGTCAGCAAGAGCATGTGCCTCTGTGTGTTCCTAATCGTATTCATTATCTAACTGGTTGCTGCAACCCAGCTCTTTCGTCATTTGCTGCCCGTCAGTCCCCAAGTAGCCAGGCAGAGTTGCAGTGCCGGGTTTTCATCTATGCAGAGGTGGGCTGGCGAGGTCCTTGGCAGACCCTCGTGCATAAGATTGCATCAGAGGGGCTGGAGCGATAGCACAGCGGGTAGGGTGTTTGCCTTGCACGCAGCCAACCCAGGTTCGATTCCCAGCATCCCATATGGTCCCCCAAGTACTGCCAGGAGCAATTCCTGAGTGCATGCACCAGGAATAACCCCTGTGTGACCCCAAAAAACAAACAAAAAAAAAAGATTGCATCAGTGCCTTTCTGTTCAACCTTTGCCTTCCTCTTAGCGAGAGGCATCACCAGCTCTAGACAGGTTGATTTTACACCTCAAGTCACTGAGGGCCCTTCTCTCAGACCCACTCATTGTTTGGACACAGTCTCAGAAGATGGTCATTGGGCTGCACTTGGATTCTCTGGCTAAGGCAACGGTTTTTATGAAGCACTTTTCTGTCTGACCTTGCTTATAAAGCATTGACTAGGAAATTACAGCCTTCAACACTATCGTGGATTGACAAATTGAGGGTTGGAAGTGGTAATCTAACTCTCAGTCCAGTAACCAGTCTTTTATTGTGTCTCGTGCTCTCGGCACGCCATCCTCGCCCTGATTCCTGTCTCCCCCAGGAAGGGCTGGACTGGCCGTGTTCACCTGACAACTCCAAAGCACTGTCGTGGTCACGTCAAGTTCTCAATGGCCGGGTGATGCAACCGGACATGGACATGGGATGTGATTAGAAATCCACGGGGGTGGGGAAGAACCTCCCTCCAGGGAGGATGTTTAGCAGATTTCTCTACTGAAAAATCAGTTTGCCAGTAGAATCGCGTCAGAAATTGGCTCCACTGTTGGTGCTTTTAAGAGATTGAGGTCCCCAAGGATTGTCTAAATAGATTCTGGCCCTCGGTTCTTAAAATTCTCCCGGATCCAGTTTACCTCGAAAGGCTGTTCAGTTGTTCTATTTCTCATCTTTCACTTAGAGATCAATGTTTATTTTGTGTGCACCATGACATCCGCGTGAAACAATTAAGGGAAAAATCTAATCATTTCACCTTAATTTTAATGGTTCTTGGATTCCCTCCAGCATCATCGCAAAAGAGGTGGGGAAGGAGGAGGAGGCAATAATCTGATTTCTGTCCATATTTTCAGTGTTTTATGCTTTCTATTAAAGCCTTGCTGGTCTCTCGTGTGCTATTCTGACTTTTTGAACTGCAGGGTCAAAAATTTCCCCCGCCCCCCACTTTGTGTTCCTGAGCAGCCTGTCTTCAAAAAGTATAAATAATATTGATCGTGGTATTTAATACACTAATGAAACCCACGGTTATTGACTACATAATTAATATACTGTCTAAAAGTGAAGTTTGGCAGCCCGTATGGAAAGGCTTATATTGACTTGTGTTTTCTTTGGCAATATGCCTTCCCAGGGTTTTATTTATAGAAATGAAACAGGTTGTTCCGTCCCCTTTCCTTCTTTACACTTGTTAGCAGGCTACTCTGTCCTGGGGAATTGATCATTTCCTTTTTTTCAGAGAGGATCTCTCCACTCCCAAACCCCATGTCTAAGGTTTGATAACTCTTCATCTTACAATCCACTGTTGGCCTCTTGGTAGATTCAGCTTTTATCAACACTTGGAAATCTGTGTTTTTTCCAAAAGAATGTTTTTCTTTCATTTGTTTGAGAAAACCTGAGCTGCAGACATGGGTTTTATTTATTTATTTATTTTATGTAGGAGTACTGCTATTTATTCAGCCACTGATTAGGCTGATTGAATTGTGCATGAACTTCGCCTTTTTTTTTCCCATTTTTTATAATTTTATTGAATCACCATGAGATCAATTACAAAGCTTTCGGGTTTAAGTCTCGGTCATACAATGAAACACCCGTACCTTCACCAGTGCCCACTATCCACCACCAAAATCCCCAGTATACCCATCCTACACCCTCCCCCTGCCTGTAGGGCAGATGGTTTCCAAATTACTCTCTCAATACTTCCATTACACTCAACATTTCAACACCACGCCCACCATTATTATTTGGGATTTTACCCCAACACTCAGACCTGCCGAAAAGGCAACAGTAGACAATTTGTTTCCTATTACTGGCTATGAATAATATATGATACCGCATGGTTGCAGTAGTGGCCGCGTGATTTTGAAATTCCGAAATTTCAACAATTAAATCTGGAGGGGTTTCTTGCCAAAACCTGCTGGGTTCTGAGATTTGTTCCTGAGTCTCTGGGATCATGGCCATTAAGCAGCTCGATGGGGAGCCAGAGAGGCCATCCGTGGGCGATGACTCGAGGTCTCATTGGGGTTGGGAGGAAAGGGTCGGCTCCACCCCCATTCCATGAGACCCTGCGTGTCTCATCACTGCGGACCCAAACCTCACTGTCTAGTGGCCTCTGAAGGATGGCAGCCACCAGTTCGCCAAAGGGTAGCAGGCGGAGCGACAGCACCCTTTCCCCCCTGGGGTGGCCCGGCGACAGTAACCTAACTGCAGGAACAGGACACATTTCTGCCAAAAGCCTTTGGGTTCCGAGATTCATTTCTGAGTCTCTGGGATCATGGCCGTTAAGCAGTTCGATCAGGAACCAGAGAGGCCATGCCTCCAATTGTATAGCTGAGCTGGAGGTGGTTTGTGGGTGTGTCTCCCACATGCCTAACTTTTGGCCGTTTACTTTCTTGGTAAACTTTGCCCCAAGTTTTTGGGGTCTGGCCAAAGGCACAGCAGCAATTTTGGGGTATCTGGAAATCTGAAGGCACCACGAGGCTGCTGATGCACTCACCTCACAGGTGCAGATTGACCTGCTGGCGGCACCATACCCCCTGCAGACATGTTTTAAAGCTGATATTGAATATTGTTTGTATCTGGTTTTGAAAGGAAAGAAATGGAGACTGTTGAGGCTATTGATCATTTCTTACACAAGTTATCCAAATTTACATAAAAAAATAAAACTTACAAATGAGAAAAAAAATAACCACAGGCTAGCAGGATAGTGCTGTGCACTGATGCATGTGGTACATGTGTTTCGTATGCTGGTGGCCAGAGTTTTGCATATGTGCACGAATCCCCAGCAGCACGTGGTCCCCTGGAACACTGCTAGGTGTGACCAAAACAGAAGGTTTTTTTTTTTGTTTGTTTGTTTTTTTTTTTTTTTGCTTTTTGGGTCACACCTGGCGATGCACAGGGTTTACTCCTAGCTCTGCACTCAGGAATTACCCCTGGCAGTACTCGAGGGACCATGTGGTGGGATGCTGGGAATCGAATCCGGGTTGGCTGTGTGCAAGACAAACGCCCTCCCTGCTGTGCTATCGCTCCAGCCCCAGAAAAGTAAAGAATTACCCATAAGCCCAACTCGCAAATCCAGTTGAACAGCTCACCACTTTTTAGAAATACAAACTTAGAATTATTGGTACATAGAGAGAGCTCCGGTGACAGCCTCGCATGGATGAAGCCCTGGGTTTCATCCCAGCACTATTCCACTGGTCCCCAGCATCACTGGGTGCGGCCACAGGGCACCCCCAGTTTCCTCAGTAGACGGCATCCCTGGGAGAGGCCTCTCAAAAACAATTAACATGTTACATACTGGGATAGTTCGTGTTTGTGCCCATCCGTAACTTTTTCCTAGTGCTAGAAGAAAGATACTTCTCTTTTGATAGAAATAGGTCTGCCTAATTTTAATTGGTCTTTGGCTTGGTGGATATGTAAGTTTATTGAGTCAGTTCCCCTTGGCCGGATGTGTATAGTTTTCTAATTGTTACTAACATTTGATGGGCAGGAACATTGATTCTTTGTGCCACCGAGAGAAGGCCTGGCTTCTGTTGTTCTGTTAGGTTCTCTGATTATTTATCTTTGCCCTAGTCCAGTGATAACACCTCAAGCCCTCTCTGCCATCACGGACTGGCAGGTAATTTGAGCAGCGTAACAATCCTGTAGTGTAGTAGAGGCCAGATTAATGTCGGGGAAAGAGGGGGAAGGCCGACATCAGCACCCGGCGATTAATCCAGCCACAGGGGTGTGGCGAGGAAGGGGCTTAAATCCTCTTGCGTTTTGTGAATGTAGTAGAAATGGCCTCTGACCCGCTTCCTCTGACCCGCTTCCTCATACTGATTTTATTTTTGTCTTTGATGATTATAGCTAGTTGAGAAAAGTATATAGAACTTAACTTCATTGTCTGACTGTCGTACCCTCTTTCAAGGTGACTTTAAAATCAAGATACCTTGTCCCCCAAAACTGGTCTGTGTAGAGCAAGGCTTGAAGTTCAGCAGTAATATAAGTGAAATTCAGTTCACAGAGCTGGGGATGTGGCTCAGTGGGAGAGTGCTGGCCTTGCATGGGTGAGGCCTGGTATGGTACCTGGCGCTTCAAACACAGTGTCTGTGGGCACTGGGCATGTAGCTGAGGTGGCAGATCTGCCTTTCATATGTGAGGTCCTTGGTCCATGCCCCGATGCCACTGAGGGGTCCCTGAGACGACTGCATCACTGAGAAAGGTCTCCCAAGGAATCCAGGGTGGGGCTGGAGCAATACCACAGTGGTTAG